CAGTGGGTGTTAGTGACAGTGACAGTGACATTGGGTGTTAGTGACAGTGACAGTGACAGTGGGTGTTAGTGACAGTGACAGTGAAGGTGACAGTGAGAGTGAGTGTTAGTGACATTGACTGAGTGATAGTAACAGTGATCACAGTGACAGTGACAGCGAGTGACAGTAACAGTGAGTGATAGTGACAGTGGCAGTACAGTGAGTGACAGAGAGAGTGAGTGTTGGTGACAATGAGTGCCAGTGCTAGTGCCAATGAGTGACAGTGACAGTGAGTGACAGTGACAATGACAGTGAGTGACAGTGGTTGTTAGTGACAATGAGTGACAGTGCAGTGAGCGACAGTGAGCGACAGTGGCAATGAGCGACAGTGACAGTGAGTGACAGTGGCAATGAGCGACAGTGACAATGAGCGACAGTGACAGTGACAGTGGGTGTTAGTGACAGTGACTGAGAGTAACAAACACACACACAAAAAAGCAGAAGAGATAAGAACGACAGATGTTGATAGGAAAGAGGGAGCAAACCACCAACTCATCTCTAGAAGGAGCCAATGAACTTTTATTTTAATTCAATATTTTTGCAAAAAGACATCACATGAGAATCTACACATATGCTCCAAATCCAAACACATTGGCTGATCTGACAATAACAAAAGAACCAGAATCACCAAGGTCTTCGAGGGCCGAGGCTTCTTACACAACAAAGTCTTCAGTCAATCCACAGTTTTAGCAAAGAACATCTAAGTCAGAACATAATCTAAGTGAAACATTGTATCATAATTTAACAAAGAAATACCACATGGAAAAATCATCATCATCATCACTCTCCATCACCTGGAAACATCAAGAGAACAGACATCATCACTCTCCATCCCCTGGAAACATCAAGAGAACAGACATCATCACTCTCCATCCCCCCTGGAAACATCAGGAGAACAGAGTCAACATAAACAAACAATCTAGCATACATATGGCAAAATCAGATTGATGAAAAAAAGAAAGAACAAAAAACACTTTTTGTCATGCACAAAATTTTGTTAAGGTACTTGTTTTAAATTTAGACAAAGTATTAATACATGTAAAAGAATGAGAAAAACATTTGAGACTTGAAAAATCTGTTGTCTAAGTGCATGCCACAGGGCATGAGAAAAAACCAATTTGTACATTATCAGTATTAATGTTACTTAATTCTGAAGTATGACCAACACCAGACATAATTTGAAGCAAGCCAAATCATTTAACAAACACAGGAAGAAATTTAAAATTAAAATACATGTACCCAGTTCTACGAAAACATTGACAGACTGTTGGACACACTGTTTACTGTGCCTCAATGACAAAGCCCAAGGTCTGCAGCAAGTTGGAGGAAAGAATCTTTTTTTAATTGAGTTTTAAAAAAGCATCACTCATCACTTCTGACATTTCCACATACACCACCATATTTATGACAGTTTTTATCAAAACGGCCACATTATTACTATTAGAAGAAAAACATTAACATTAACCTATCAAGGCACTGACTTTGTACCACAAGAGCGGGGAAAAATAATAGTACCCATCACAGTCTCAGGGCTGCTACACTATACACTACACTGAGATAGTCCAAGGAAAGTAAACCCACATTGAGCACTTTTCAAGCAGGTCATTTCAAGTTCACAGATACACATTTATTTTTTCACACACAGTAAAGACAGACACTGAAAGTTAATAATCCCCTGAAATCGCGTTCACTGAAGCCATCATTCAACAACTGCTGGAGTTCAGAGCCGGATCATCATGGCATCATGGCCAGTGGACAGTCCAGCCCAGCTTTTAGTTTTTAATACATAAAAGTTTTACAGCACTTTCAACACAATTAGGTCATAATATAAGATATGTGTCAAAGACTGGAGAGTAACATACAAAGAAAAGAAAGAGCAGAGATAGAGACAATAGATGTTTCATTGGAAAGAAGGAGCAGAGATAGGGACAATAGATGTTTCATTGGAAAGAAGGAGCAGGGATAGGGACAATAGATGTTTCATTGGAAAGAAGGAGCAGAGATAGGGACAATAGATGTTTCATTGGAAAGAAGGAGCAGAGATAGGGACAATAGATGTTTCATTGGAAAGAAGGAGCAGAGATAGGGACAATAGATGTTTCATTGGAAAGAAGGAGCAGAGATAGGGACAATAGATGTTTCATTGGAAAGAAGGAGCAAACAACACCACTATAACCACAAACCTCCCACCCAGCCAAGCATATAGAAAGGGTTCACACAGAAATTCCAAGTTCATGACAAAACAGGCATTAGAAATATTCATGTGTGCGTGTGTGTGTGCAATATGGTACTCACTTGGGTTAAATCATGCAAAAAGATATTCTGTACAGTGAACACATGAGGTGACAATACACACACACACACACAAGCCAAAGTCACACATTGAGAATACAGGGAATGAAAATAAACTCTTTATACTACTGCCATCCATCAAACGTTGACAGCGACAAATAATTTTTGATTTGTTAAAGAAAAGAGTTTTATGGTATTCGTAACATCATAAGGTCATAATATGAGAGTGTGACAAATAACTGTTAAGTACGACTTATATAAAAATTATTCAATACAGTAGGCAAATAAATAATCTGCAATGATAAATGGTGAAATGGAATAGGTTTAACGTCCCTATCAACACTATTAGGTTATTTAAGAGGTGGGACCTCAGAGTTTAATGTCCATCTCCAAAGGAAATAATCTCAATCTATATAAGAACAAAAGTCACAAAATAATTGCTTATTTTCTGCTACCCTCAGACCCCAAGAAGGGTTGAGACGATAGATCATCCACAGACACATGTGTCCCAGGCCTCCCCTTATGGATCACAAGAAAGATATGATAAGATGGATAAGATAAAGCTTTCTTGTCTAGGTGCTGGCAAATTGGTTTGGTGTTTACTTACGACTGGTGAGTACTTAAACTTGAATCTAGAACAAACAAACAAAATTCTTTTTAATAACCCCCCGCCCTCCCAAAAGTAGAATTGGAAAGGAAAAACTTCAGGATTTTTTTTGTCTGTCATCGACAGATGAAAACCCTGAATTGTGGGTAAATCCTACGCCATTAATCATCTGTGTGTTTCTCTCACATTCAAAATATGATGTGTATATCGTTGTCCATGTCCATTGTGCTGGGATAGTATGATGAATGTTTGCTTATATGTGTTAGCGTTGACCTAAAAAGTGTATGAATGTATATTCATCCACTTGTGTTTTATGATGAGATGAAAATATCGTGAAAGTGCCGAGAGCTGTATTGCATGGGAGTAGGCGCTATAGAAATGATCTGTTTTATTATCATTATTATTATTGTTGTTATTAAATCTCCCGTTCTTGCTTGACCTTGACCTGGGTTGTCAGGCCGAGCCCGTGGAACAAACGGCCCAGGTCCACGTTGGAGTAGGCGCTGCGGGACAGCCAGGCAGAGGTCAACTGTCGGAGGTCGCGGTAGGCGTCCAGAAGACCGGGGTTCAACTTCCGTGTTGTGGCTGAGAGAAAGAAAGATGAGAGAAGAAGGAAAGAAATCAGTCACCAGTCCCAGCTTACCGTCAGCCTGACACACCACCGTTAGACTTTCATTAGATCATAAGTTTTACAGCCCAATTGATACCATTTTTTTCTCCCGTAAAATTTTTACGGCACTTGCAACACAATAAGGTCATATAAGTGCCGAAGATTAGAGGTGTTACAAGGGAGTAACAAACACAAAAAGAAGGAGGGGGAGGTAAAGACGATAGATTTTTGATAGGAAAGGAGGAGCAAACCACACGAGAGCACCCGCCAACCACTCACCAATTGATACAAAAATAGATTGAAAATATTGAAAGAAATATTAGCAACCCCCAACCCCCCGACAAAGAGACCAATCAATGTTTTACAGCCCAATAGATACAATTTAGATTATTTTTGAAATACTGAACGAAATATTGGCCCAACACTATGCGACCTCAGTGCTTTCTTGTCGCATCTCCATTTTTAATAACAGTGAAAACAGTTCATTACAAAGAGTGAGCTTAAGAAGATGTCACATTTTAATTGTTACAGGGAATCAGGCTTACTCTGTTCACCTCTTTAGCTTCAACAGCACAAAGTCTGCTTCGACTATCAAGGCATCCCGGAAATAGCAGGTCACAAGAATGTGATAAACATACCAAAGAAGTAAGGGAAATATGACGATAGTAAGGATTAGGAAAGAAAAAGCAGCAGTTCCCTGTTGCAGTTCAGGCACAGTTATGAGCATGACATTGTTGAATCAGTCCATTTACAATTCTACTATGCAAAAGAACAAGTTATTATCCCCCCTTTGGGAATGGCCTAAGACAGTTCAGTGAGTGGCACTGCCCGGGGGAGGTAGTAATGTACTCAACACTGGCAAGAACAAGGTTTAGAACTATTGCACAACAACTTTAGAGCTATACTCATTTTTTTTTTTTAACCATAACATTTCTTTTCACACTCTCACTTTTTTTTGTATGAGCGTATGGGTGTGTTAACATGCATGCATGCATGAGTGTGTGTGCGTACGCACATGAATTTGAGTATGTGGTCTCAATTCTTGCATTTGTCTAAGAGTCGAGAGGTCAGCCAACTCACCTTTCTCAGCGTCTGTCATGTACAGACTGGCTTTCTGCACGTCAAACATGTAGTCGTAGAAGCAGAGCTGGGTGTAGAGAACCGAGTCTGTGTACTGCACAGAGAGACAAGAGAGGACATTGTCACCTTCACTAAAAGCCAAATGAAAAAAACAACAACCCAACAACAACAACAAAAACCAAACAAAAACCCCACCACACCCAGAATGGAACAAACAACTACATTCCGCCTCCAAATACAACCCATACCTCTAAACTACCATCTGAATAGAATATCAAACCGTAACCCCCCACCTCCCCCAACTACTAATGTGCTTATTTTTTTGTGTCCACATCAACGACAAAGTCCAACCTCTACTCTTTAAAAATTTTCCCACTGGGACAGTAAAGTCTCATCTAATCTGATCTCTTTGAGACACCTCCAAAGCAACCGGCCTCCTAAATAACCAAAACAGTGTTGGTGATTTTTTCCCCAAGACTTTTCCAAGAGTTATCAAGACCAGAATTCTTTTTCAAAGGCAAATAACGTGACATTTCTGAAGAAAATTTGTTCTGGTGCGGTATTTCTTTATTCAGAACGTAAAGTCAAGGCCATCTAAACTTTGAGGAAATATTTTTAAAGTAGATCCAGTTAAAAATTTGTATTTTCAAGACTTTTTCAAGAATTTTGCCAATTTCCAAAAATTCCAAGAGTTTTCCAGGTCTTGGGAAATAAAAACAAAATTCCAAAAGTTTTCCAGGTCTTGGAAAATATTTTTAAAATTCCAAGAGTTTTCCATGTCTTGGCAAATAAAATTAAAAATTCCTAAAGTTGTCCAGTTTTCCAAGATCAGTACAAACCCTGGTCATTACAATCAATCGTACCTCTGGCTGAAGGAAGCCCCTGTCGCAGGCGGCACACACCGGCCGACCCCGCTGCATGATGAGCGGCACTTTGTTTGTTCTTGACCCACATACGGAGTCGTCGCACTTCAGCCAGCCCTGGGGGTGGAGGCAAGTCACGTGTGGTGCCATGTTACAAAATCAGGCAAAATGAAGGACATTTTCGCAAAACTTAAAATAACAGGAATTTTCACCTAAAGTTTACAAAAAGAGACGGACAATTCACATGAAGGTTACAGAGAAGAGAGGCAATTGACAAAAAGACGACTGAAACAACAGACATAAAGATTACAGGAATAATTGACATAAACAGTTACAGAGAGAGAATATATATACGTAAAGTTCACAGAGAAGAGAGACAATTGACAAAAAGACGACTGAAACAACAAACATAAAGATTACAGAAATAACTGACATAAACGGTTACAGAGAGAGAATAAACGTAAAGTTCACAGAGAAGAGAGACAAATGATATAAAGACCAGTGAAACAACTGACATAAAGATTACTGAAATAATTGACATAAAGATTACAGAGAGAGAATATACGTAAATTTCACAGAGAAAAGAGACAAATGACATAAAGTTTACAGAGACAATTAACAAAAGTTTATTTACAGAGAGACAATTGAGAGACAAAAAGCTTTTTTCAGTTTTAGTAAGAGTTAGTAAGTGCCGAAGATTAGAGGTGTTACAAGGGAGTAACAAAAACAAAAAAGAATGAGTTTTAGTAGAGGTTTTATGGCGCTCGCAACTGCATAAGGTCATATGAGCGCCAGAAGATTTGAGGTGTTACAAGAGAGT